GAGCCGTTTGCGCAATGCGTCGCGTACCAGGTCCGGTGAGATATATGTGAATGCTGAAACGACGTAAAAAGATATCATGGTTTGAGCTGGATGAACCGTTCTTCCCCGGATAGTGGCCAGAAGTTGGGAGGCCGAATTGATTGAGGTCCTCTGACGCGGTTCTCTGACGATGGCTTCTTATGTGATACCAAAAGCTCAGATTACTGCAATTGCTGTCCCAGTGATCGCACTTTTGTCTTCCTTAAAACTAAGGATTGTCACTTTGCCACCTGTGATCACGGCAATCCCAAGTCCATTAGCCAGCAATGCTTCGCTTTAGTCACCCTTGTTCTCATGGATAGTAGTTCTCGATAAGTGACTGCTGGACATATTTACGTTTTTCCAGCATGGATGGCATATGGTTAACTGACTAGGTTTATCCATTGATAAATGTTCACGCGACCACTAACGGAACTCATATGTCCTGCTCTGTCTTGGAGCCCACCAGGGGTCCTAACAGCCGTAACAGCTAGTAGTGTATGCAGATACTATTACTGCCAAAGACAAGGGAGACTCATAGACCATGTTTTGCTCCCCGGAATGAGTTTCTGTTCTGCTTCGTCCCCACGCTAGTGGACGGCCCAGCCGGCCCAGCTGTCCGAACCGTCAGCAAGCCAACAAACTCATTTCGGGAAGCAAAACATGATTTATGATTCTTATTCCGGAATTCTGAATTTTGCAAATGTTAGCAAGGCAGACTGGAATGACCGTTGTTGACCTATAAGCCGTCGTCAGTCAGTCATATCCAGATTCGGTTTTATAAGCTGTAACCTGCAGCTCAAGGTTCCCTTTGTAATGTAGGAACAGTTCGTCAGTGATTACACTTCTACTTCTACCTACGCTTAAACACTCCTCTGCTAAGACCTAGATAGTGCTGGTTGCCATACTCGTTCTAGCTTTCATGACTACCCCATCTGTCATGTTCTTTTTTCTGCTCTTCTTTCAGAGGCAACTTGGCCAATTCCCAAAAACTACTTCATGTACCACTAGGCAAAGTTCAAGAAGGATCCACGTGCGCGTTTTACAGTGGCAATATTAAAAACTTGATTGCAAAATGTCAGTCTTGTTGTCGTTATCTAGAGCCGTAGACTTGTACCTGAAGATGTTTTAGCCAACACGAATATCAGGTGTGGTGAGTGTTCAGAACATTCCAGGAGGCACCATAAAACTTCAAAAGCATGGTAGTTGTTTCGTCCTTCTTGACTTCTTCGACTCTGTATCCAGCAGTCATGGATACGTCAAACTCAATGATAACAACTATCAAGTCAGTACGCTACTATTAAACAAGTAGTAAAGGGTAAACAAAGTACAAACTTCAACAATGGATACACACAGTCAAGAAGAAAGAGCGTCGACCAAATCGCCTGACTCGAGACCAATGAACAACACAAATTGAACGCCACGCAGGATGAAACCAGTCTTGGGAAAGTGTGTGCATAAGCG